ATTGATTGCCATCAGCCTTATCTGGACTCTAGGCACTATTCAGAAGTACTTTCTATTTTCTCCTAACTAGTTAACCAGTTAACCTCCATTTTCACATAGAAAATGGAGATCATTGGCAAACATTTCTGCTCCTATCCACCCTAAATTTATTTCTTGCTTCTATATTTACCCTTTTCTCTCCTAGTTCATTGAAACAGATGATCATCCTTCTGCCTGAGAAAACTGTACTTTTCCTTCATAACACCTACAATGACTGAAATTATTTGTGAAAATCATTTTTATGTTACTTAAACTTATTAGTAAATTCTTTGAGAAGACAGACAGTGTCTATTTTCATCATACTATCTTTGGCAGTTGCCACAATAATATATTTTTGATAATTTTTAAAGAATGCGAGTCTATTAGAGCTTTTATTTGCAAACATCAAAATCTGCTTCTGGCTTACTTAAATAAAGTGGAAATTATTAGAACCCATTTAAGAGTGGGGTAGAGGCCTGAGAGAATTTACCAGAATTTGAAATGGGTAATCACTGAGTGAATTATAGAGCCAAGCAGCTCAAAAACATTCTAGTGTTCCAATTTAATTGAATCAAAATGTATTGCCAGCAAATCTGTCATTATGATTATGAATGGTAACCAACTATTTTCTGTCTTCTCCTGTATTGTTAAATATTGAACATCCCAGAAGAGAGCATTCAGTTAACAGAGCTTGAATTAATATTATACATCGTAGTTAACTAGAAACAGAAAAAGGAAAATTTCTCCTCCCTGTTGATTCCATAACTGGAAAAAGGTCATGAAATAATACTCCTGTCAAAACTACTATGATGACTCATTTATGTTGACTTGATTGAGATACAAGGTGCCCAGATATTTGGTTAAACATTGCATTACTTGTGTCAGTGAGAGTGTTTTTTGAATAATATTAACATTTAAACTGATAGTTGAAGTAAAACAGATTGCCCCTCAACACACACACAACATGGGTGGCCTCATTTAACCAACTATAGGCCTGACTACAATAAAATTAAGGCAAAAGAGAATTCTCTTCTTGTGCTTCAAATTTTTCAAGCTAAGACATTGTTCTTTTCCTTATTTGTCTAACCTTTTAAGTTAAACTGAACTGAAACTATACACTGCAAGATGTCCAAAGTTTCCAGCTTTCCAATGGAAGATTCTAGGACTTAGCCTACATAATCATAATCATGTGAACCAGTTCTTTACAGTGTCCTCTCCTCTCCTCTCCCTTCATCTCTACCCTCCCCTCCCTTCTCCTCACTCTCCCTTCCTCTCTTCACCCTCTCCTCTCTCTCTCTCTCTCTTTCTCCCTCTCTTTCTCTCTCTCTCTGTTGGTTTGTTTGAACCAAAAAATAGTACACTTCATAGCTCATACATATATACTATTTTGGTTTTCCCAGGGCAGACCAGGATTACAATTTCTATCTAAGAATTGAGATATGTAATAGAAATCAGACAGATGGCCAATTGTCTGTATATGCCCAGCATGACAGGCATCAAACAAAGAACTGACCTGATCAGAATATAGGTCCCTAGGGTTTACTACAAACCACAACAAAAAATATTTATCAAAACAAATAATTCCATAACCTATTAGAAAATGTATTAGAGTCCACTAATGTCCTGCCATTCTAGGTCTGAATTGACTCAAAACTTGGCAAAATCAAACTTTCATATAAAAGGCATCTATCACTTTTGTCTTACTCTGCCTAGCACAACCAACTGAGTTTATGAACATGGAATTAATTTTGCTATTCAAATATCTCACATGTCTGGAGAAAGTCATCCCAGGACTTCTAGACCTTGAGATTTACATTGTCAAACTCCATAGGAAGTTATCAGTTTATTACATAAGATGATCGAGTAAATGCTATAATTATTGTATAGTATTAAGATATGGCTATGTGTTATATGCCTATTAAGGATATATGGCTATCTCCCTGCACCATGGGAACATGTACTATGCCAGTCACCTGGAGAAGGGAACAAAGGGGAAATCAGGACCCCTGAACTTTAAGGGGATCACAGGAATTGAAAGCTTTGGAATGGGGCAATGAATAGGCTGATGCATGTATATAGTAGAACATTGCTAGCACACAAATGAAATTGTGCCTAAATGGAATTCCATTGTAGGACAGACTTTATCAAAAATCTGTTAACAATCATATGTGTGTGTGTGTGTGTGTTTGTGTGTGTGTGTGTCACTGGGCCTTCTCAACAATTAAGTAGTTGTTTGAAGATATATATGTGTGTGTGTGTGTGTATGTTCCACTGGCCTATGGAACAATGAATTATTCACTCAGCTACTCAGTTAGGTTAATGTCTTGTTCTCTTAACCCTTAGTTGCTTATATAGAATCAAAAACAAGTTATAGGAGCAAGCTTCGTGGCGTAGCAGGTTTAGCCACACCCTGTGAAGCCAGCACCCCATATGTGTAGCAGTTCAATTCCCAATCCATCTCCCTGCTAATGCACCTGGGAAAGCAGTGGAGGACTGCACAAGTGGTTGGGACCCTGCACCCACAAAAGAGGCATAGAAGAAGCTCCCGGCACCTGGCTTCAGTCTGGCTCAGCCACAGACATTGCAACCATTTGGGGAGCAAACCAGCAGATGGAAGATCTCTCTCCTTCTCTCTCTGTAACTCTGTCTTTCAAATAAATAAATAAGTGAACCTTAAATAAATTACATAGGTCTGGAATAAAACCTGTAAGTGTGTATAGTATCATAACTAAACATGTTCTAGACAAATTTACCTTGTACAATTCAGATATTCTCTGATTTACCTCCAAAGGACCTCAGATGTTATTATTTTGCAGATACTTTGTAAAATGTATAGCTCAGTTGATTTATCATACTGTATAGAGATGCACATATTTGTGCTGCTGCATTGAGAACTCATTTAAAAATCTTTTGCTCTTCAATTAGCAATGACAGAGACAAATAACAGTGGTAGTATTTAATAGCCATTTGAGAGTTGGCTGTGTGTGATACAAAGTGATGAAGAGATTCTTGTTAGTATAGACTAGAAAAAAATCCATTGTCTCTAGGACTAAGTAAAAACTGACATTAAAAAGACAGGAAAAATTAAACTATGATGATAGAAACCAAAATATTGGTTACCTCTATGGGAATACAGGCAGGGGAGAATATGAAGGAACTTTCTAGAGTAATGTAAATTTTCTACATATTGATTTAAGTAGTGGTTTATATGAGCATATGCACATGTAAAAAGTGATTTTGCTGTGCTGTTAATATTTATGTACTTTATTATATTTAAATTATATCTCTACAAAATGTTTTTAGAATATAAAATACATATGGGGCAAAATTTCATGTATTCTATACTTAAAGAGATCGCATGTACTACAATTTTGCTGTATAATCTCTAATATATATTTATAAGAGAACTACATTTATCCAAATAAATGGTAATTTAAAAAAATATTTAAAGTGTTGTTTGGATCAAAAAATTTAAGCGAACTTACTAGCATACAGCATACAATTACAAAGAGCTGGAATAAAAAGAAGCTGCAGAACATACTGGTGATTTTGCTAATGCCAAATCATGTCAAAAAGTCATAGTGTGCTAAAGTTTGAAATATATTTGCATCAGTAGAATATTGTCACTGTCTAGTGCATTGTTGTATTTTGATTTAGACTTAAAGCTTTAAGTTTATTTATATCCAAGTGTGTTTTAAATATAATATTGGGTTATTAAAATAAATATATGTACCTTCGATTAGCAGACTTTCTTTTTTAAAAAAGATTTATCTTATTTATTCGAAAGATTGTTACAGAGAGAGGTAGAGACAGAGAGAGAGAGAGGTCTTCTATCCGCTGCTTCACTCCCCAGATGGCTGCAATGGCAGGAGCTGTGCCTATCCAAAGCCAGGAGCCAGGAGCTTCTTCCCAGTCTCCCATGTGGGTGCAGGGGCCCAAGGACTTGGGCCATCTTCTACTGTTATCCCAGGGCATAGCAGAGAGCTGGATTGGAAAAGGAGCAGCCGGGACTTGAACCAGCACCCATATGGGATGCTGGTGCTTCAGGTCAGGGCTTTAACTGGCTGTGCCACAGCACTGGCCCTAGCAGACTTACTTCTTGATATATACGTTTGTGGGAGCACTTATAGTGAAACTATTTATAAAAAAGGGATGTGTCCATGCCCACAAGGTAGTTTTTATATAGCTCATATTAACATGACTATCCTCAAGCAAAAATGCACCAGAGGTTAAGAAACAGAGAATTCATGTAAGATAACTATAAATAGGGTCAATCTTGGCCCTTGATGGTAGCCATTTCTGATATTATATGAAACAGAATACAACTAGACATTGTAGGATTGGGTGAGGAAGAAATCGGAAAATTTGAGAGTGGAGATTTGTTACCTCATGTTTATGCTTTTTGGATCCAACAATTGTTTTTTCCAGTTGTTCTCCTTTAACACATATGAGAAAGAGTGGACCTTTCTAAAAATATTAAAGGTCAGACCATCCAAATGGGTAACTGAGCAACCAATGTGATGATTGCAGTGATAATTGAAGTAAGAAATGTTTTCACTAGTAAATTCAGTCTGAATTTTCCTGTTCGAGACACTCTAGCATTGACCCACTGCCTCTATAAATCTGCTCCTCTCATTTCTTCCCACTGAGGCTCCAGCATGCTTTTCCAATTACAAGGACAGAAGGCATATCTTGACTTTCCAAGTGTTCTAATTAACCAACTCTTTGTCCCTCTTGCTCATTCATAAGTTTTTAGAAGGGAAATATCATAGGATTTATTTTTATGTTATACACCCATCTGCTTACACTTCAATATCCACATGTTGAGCATGTAAGAAGTTTTCAATCTTGAGTTTAGCTTTGATAGCAACTGTGGATCACAAACTCCCACTATGTAAGCTGCACCTTCACCCTCCTCTTCCCCTCCCCCATCCAGATCCATTCATATAACAAGAGTTTGTAAATTCTTTGAATATTTTTATTTATAATGTGTGCTGAATACATATATGTCTTAACCCCATTTCCCATATGCCCACCCCCCCCATTCCCTACTCTGTTATCCCTCCCCTCCCCAAACCAAAATCCACAAGCAAACACTAAATTAGGGTACAGAGAAATAGCAATATTGGTAAAGCATACTTAAAGTAACAAGTAAATGAGCAGCACATGCATGCCTGCTGGGACTCCAGAATGATGTCCATTTTCATGTTGTAACACAGTGAGACTCCTCACCTTCCCCTTTGTCAGAATGCCTCATTATAATTCACCAGTATCTCCACAGGGAGGTTTGTTTCCTATGTCATTTAAATGCAGCATCTGAAGCTTTCACACAGAGAATTTGGCAATCTCATAGGCTTCTTTCCTGGGAGCTTTCAAGCCCAAGCAGCCTATGCTATCACTAAGCTTGAACCAAGTAGGTAGTGTTTGATGTGCCTGCCTACACATGCCTAGTATATTTCCCGTCAATCCACAAAGCTGTAAAGACAGAACAATGGTAGAAGCTGAAAAGTTAAAAGTCATTAAGGTATCATCAAGTTCAATTCCATTGTTTAGAACTGTAATTTTCAGAGACTATTTCCATTCACCAACATATTTGAAAATAAAATCCACTGTCCTATCTAGATTACCTGGAAGTATCTAGTTTTCCAATATGGCAAAGAATGCTGACAATAAACACTTGTTACAAAATCCCTCAGGATCTTAATTTGGAAATGAGAAAGGCATCACAAACAGCATATTTCTATTACCATTTTAAGGGAAGAGAGCTTGAACTAGACATATGGGCATCCTTTACCAGGAATTACCACAATAAACAACTTCATGTCCAGACTGGGTCCATCTTCTTTACTCCCTTGCGTGGCCCAGAGGACAACAGATTTTCCCTCAGTGAGAATTTGTCTCAGTCTAGAGATGATGACAGCCTTCAGCAATGGTAGAGTAGCAAGTAGATGATACAAATCTGTAATTATGTTTCCAGGTAGGCACTTGCTGATATTAAGGCATGTACCTCTCCTGGTGCAAAACTGCCTATTAAACCAGGTCATGGAGAAACAAACATATACAAGATTAGAAAACTCCTCACAAGATAGGCAAAATCATTTTAGCTCTCTGTTCTCATTTCTACTCCACATGTGTTAATGGGGGGACCAAGCTCACAAATCTCACTGTCTTTATGAATTTCCAGTGGCTTACCACCTTCATGTATTATCTTTTAAACAGGTATTTAACCTTCTGTTTTCTAGCATGGGCCAGCAAGATCTTTTTTTTTTTCTTTCATTAAGGGCCTCTTCAACATGTGTGTCTTTTGTGTCTGTGTATATGTGTATGTTCATCTGTATATATTTGTGTAATTATCTGTGTGTGAATCTATTTATATTCATGAGTCCTTTCTGGCATTGCTGCAACTTACTTAGATCAAATATACATTTCATAAGTGATGTCCTTTGGATAAGAAGGTGACACTACTAATGTATCATTAGGAGGGAGTGCACTTCGTTTCCTCAGAAGTGAAAAATGTGTTTTGCAGGGCTATTTATTTACACAACAGTTTTTCTGGATCTTCCAGGCAGCTGATAACCCATGATCAGGAAAATGCTGGCTAGGGTGAGTGGTGCAGTCTGTGTAAACAGACACACATGGGGTTTTGAAACCACATGACCATAGTTCTTTAGCACCGTGCTCGAACCCACAGGGCTAAATGGCCGCACATGGGTTAGAGCCTAGGACCTAGAGCTCATTAGCACCATGTTCCAACCAAATGAGCCCCCCAGCCAGAGGTTACTTACAATCATAGCACCCTCAGACTTGGCTGGGTGCTGAGTTCAGATTAGTTGCTGTTGACAAAAATAACTACTAAACAAAACCCTGCTTCAAACTCAGACTATCCAGAGGCCTAGTTCTTTAAACACTGCATACATCACCAAAGCTCACGGAAAAACGAAGTTCTGTGAGTGTGGAGTTCACAGCCAAGGCAGCAACAGACATCAAAGCATGGAACATTCCATATTCCCGACCTTACTGAAAATAGAAAAAGTCTGATTCTTTGTAGATAGTAAGGATGAGAACAGCGAGGGGATTTCCTGGGAATGAAAGAACATTAGGTGAAAATACAATAGCACAATAATCATTTAAATTACAATGATAGCCCTTTCATCCAAATTTCTCCTAGGTCTAAGAAGGAGAAGGAGGATATCAGAGCAAGGGATGGTCCTTCCAAGAAGCACTGGGTTCCCAGGGGCAATTCCACTCTGCCCTCTCCTTGTGGGGTAGCAGGGTCCTAGACAGTCAGCCCGATGTCCTGGGTTGTATCCATCTGCCAAAAGGAGAAAGGGAAGAATATCTCAATGTCCTTAGTTCAGAGAATGAGAAGGATTTACAGAAGGAGGGAGAAAAAGTACCAGCAGAGCTCACCACTCACAAAGACTACTTAATCTGAAAAACAGCTGAAGCCACAGGGGGCAATAAACAAATGTGCAGGTTATAAAGTTGACAACAACAAGTGTAGTCATGTAGTCAGCCTAGGACTTCTCCAAACATCTAGTCATGTGCTAAAGTGACAAAAGTTCAATTTTTGTTGAAAGAAATTGAATGTTGAAAATAGCAAGATAGGAGGTAATGGATTTATTTATGAAAGTGAAATGTTAAGGAGTGTTCAAAGTACAAATGAGCTCTTTCCTAGCAATTTCTCTTTGATCTAAAACAGGGATGCAACACTATACCAAGTATGGAAATCTACCATAGATACTTGAGGTTCTAGCTCTAACAATCCAACCCTGTCCCATCAGGGTGGTATAAGACTATCTAGACTCTAACATCATACTTGACTCATGTACACTTATGCTGTCTGGTTTTCCATTTCTGGAGAAAGGAAAAGTATAATGCGCTACTATTGTTTTAACTGTAACCATATCTTTAACCTTGAGGATTTCAACTCAGCAGGAGAGATGAGGAGGAAGTAATAGCTCATCATTCTACTCTCAGTGCATTGGCTCCAGCTCCCTCACGTGGCTGTTCCATGAATTGTTGGACAGAGGTGTCATATGAGAAGGAGGAGACATACCAAGGAGACAGGATCATTGGTAGCTACCTCGAAGACTGCCTGCCAAATATGGTTAGTTTCAATGCTTAAAAAAACTTTGTTTGTAATACAGTTTATTAAAACAGAAGACTTGTAAAAATATGAGGATACTGTGTAACACACTTGGAGGAATGGTGCTGCAAAAGGAAGAGATTCGGCAGTAATGAGGAAGAGGGCGGAGGAGAGAAGAAGGGCAAGAAGAGGAGACAAGATAAAAGAAGAGAACTAGAAAGGGGGGACTGGACTGGAGAGGAAAGGGAAGGTTAGGCAGGTAAGAACAGGGAGGAAGAAGGGAACAAAGAGGAGTAGGAGATGGAGGATGAGAAGACAAGAGAAGAGGAGGAATACGAGGAGGAAAGGAAATCCCACTCTCATTATGGCATCATTTTGACACGCAAAACAGACAACATTCTTCAAAGTACCGATAACATTGTCTCCAGGAAAGACCATGTGGAAGCAGAAGAACCTGCATTCTTTCTCTTCATCTCTCCAGCTGAATTGAAATTCTCATAGGCTAAAGAGATTAGATCAATTAAATCAAGAGTGGGTGCATTATACTCTTTCTTTTTCCAGAAAAGGAACAGCAAAATTATACAGGAAAAATTTATAGAGACAAGGTATGCTGTTAAATGTAGAATCAAGAATCAGGGAGAACTTTTTGGATTTTATGGTGCTAACTTGGGCACTTCCATTTTCATTGCATTCAAAGGGAAGCTAACAACAGATTATTGTATAGCAACCTGTAGAAATAACCCAGGTGACATGGGGTGAACCGTTTAACTGCTTTGTCTTTTCCTCTGTATCTGTAAGATTTCTCATTCTCACTTTGCCACAGGAGATAAGCTATGACTAACAACTTCCACTTACAAGAGGCTTTGAGTTCCCAGAGCACTAAATAAATTTTCAGGAACTATGTCTTTCTCTCCTGGCATTTCCCTCTGAATATGATAAGGAGATTGGCCTCTTATCCATCTAAATAAAACACAAATAAGAATCTCTAGGGGTTCTTGCAGCTCCTGAGACAACTTCTGGGATATCAGAGGACAAGTGCCATGGCCAGGTGGCACACAAAAATCAAGAAGGTGACCAGGATCAGAATTGTAATTCAGGAGACCCCATACCAGAGTAGGGCTTTCCTTTGAGTGAACATCAGAACATCTCTGATGACCCTGAAGATCTAATATCTTCAGTGTAATCACTTTTGAAAGAGAGTAAAAAATAGGAAAGGGAAACAAGAAAAATGACAGGGAGAAGGAAATTAAAGAGTGAGCATGTATGGTGGTTCAAATGACCCCTGTCCCTCAAATACAGGCCCCTCCCCCCACTATGAAAAAAGTGAATGAATCATAATTATTTTGGTCCCACCCTATCTCAAAAATTTTGAGGATGGATAATCTATCGCGGTCTGGGCAGCTTAAACTCTAGGCACTCGTGGATAGAGAAAGGAGATTTCCACCCCTGGGGAGGGAGGGGGACTGGGTAGCTCATCAAAATCTTTGAATGTCGGGAATTTGGGAACTCCTGGATTGGGATCCACCCAGGCAGAGCGGTGAGTGGGTGAGACAGAGCTCAGCCTGCGGTGCTCGCCCCTCAGGCGACTGATTCCATCCATCAGCATCTTCTGGATTTCCATGATGACCTTCTGAACTTCAATTCGGAAGCTATCACTGAGCCAGCAATAGATGTAGGGATTGTAGCAGGAGCTGCTAACTGCCAGCCAATGGAGGAAGAAGTAGAGACTATTGTGGCTTGAAATGGATTCACTGGATAGCAGCACCAAGTAGAGATTGAGGGGGAGCCAGCTGATTGTGTAGACAAGCACCACTATCATCAGCATCTTCAGGGTCTGCTTCTTCTTCCCACGCTGGCAGATGTAGGTGTGGATGTTGATATCATCAACAGCATTATGGATCCACAGCTTCTTGGCCACATGACCATACACAACCACCAGCACCATCAATGGCAGGATGAAGAAAAGCAAAAAGGTGCTCAGATCAAGGTATTTCCATGTGGATTTTGAAGTATATGGGAAACTAGGAAGGCAGGCAGTTTCTTCAGTTATGTTTCTAGGTTATAAAACAAACAGAGAAGGAGAAATATCATTTTTACTTGTCGCTTCCTGCAGGATCTCAGCCAGCTACTATATGTCAGTTTGTCTTTGAGGGAAAGATACATTTTAAGCCCAAAACCTAGAATTATAAAAATTGGAAAGCTCTAGGGTTCACCTAATACAGACTTTTCATGTGACATGTAAGGAAACCACAGCCCTCAAATAGGAAAGAGTATTTCTAATAACCTGTTGCCATGAGAGCACTGGAGAATTCATGAACACTTAAAATTTAGAGACATTTATTTTTGTGCCCACATTTTGAAATATACTATCCCAGCCCCTGCTTCACAACATATTCTGTGTGGCTTGCAAAATCGCAGGTTTCTTGAGTGAAAACACTAGCCATCCTGTGTTCTGCTTACCCAATCTCCACTTGGTAAAGCTTCTGGTAAATGGCATGTGGCAAAGCAGCACAGGTGCTCACAATCCAGATGAGAATAATGCACACATTGCCTTGCATTGGAGTAATTCGGGCCTTCAGGGGATATAACATCACCTGTAAGAAAAACGACCCCAGCCCAGTTCAACAACTTCAATTAGAATTACTTATTAACCATTTATCAACTAACATTTTGGTGTAAGGACTTGATAGATGAGTGAATCATATACTTTGACTACTAATTCAGTTGATGGATGGCTAACATTTTGCTTTATGAAGAGCAGCATTAGCCAACACTGAAGGAAGCATTTCAAGGGGAAATCAGCAATCCAAGTTAACTGACCTTAAAGCTTCCGTCTCTGAGTAGAAAATCCTGTGAGGAAGGGTGGAAGTCTGAAAGCATGACTTATTTCACCTTTATTATATAGGGACAGGTCAGCAGTCCACAGGACTTCACCCTTCTCCCCACCCTGGCCCCTTCACACCCGCTTTCCTTTTCATTACATCCTTTCCTGTCTTGATCCCTCCATGACCACTCCTTCCTCTCTTCCTCCCACTTCCCATACCCCTTCCCATCTCCTCCCATCTCCTATCAAATAAATCCCTCCCATCTGGCTCCAGCCACAATCCTTTTATGCTCCTTTTACATCCTTCTCACCTCACTGATTTTCTGGTTCCCTCCCAACTGATCAACTATGTAACTCCTCCCCATTTCTCATCTCTTGCCTACTTCTCTCCTTTTGGATCACTTCCAGCCACCCTCCCAACTCTTTTCTCCTAACATCTCTTCATCGCTCCCCTCCCCGCCCACTTCAGGACTTCAGCCCTCACTCACAGACCTTACCCCCATCTCCCAGAGTCAATCCACCACCAGCCTGGAAGCCACACCCACTTCTGACTCACGCCTTCCCTCCTTTTTCTCTCAGCTGGTCCTGCAATGCAGTAAATTTGGACCCTTGTATCATTTGCTCATTGCTACCCTTCAGTTTCCACATCGAAGATAGGAGAATTTTTGTTAAATACGATTTGATTTGGTAAAGGTCTGTGTTTCACCATCTTGCAACCTCCAAAATTACACATATGCATTCACATACATTATCTCAAGAAACTCAAAAGAACTTTTATAGATTATGTGTGATCTTTGCTGTACCCATCTATCTAGGAGAAGAATCTGCCCTTTACATGATCTGAAGAGCCCTAGAAAAGACATACCCGATGCCGGTCCAGGGAAATAGCAGCCATGGTCATCACAGTTACATAGGCACAAGAATACTGGGCAAAGCGACTGAGGTGACATGTCATCTTCCCAAACACCAAGGAATTACATAGGTAGCGCACCTGTGAGAAAGAGGGCATGGTGAGGCACAGGGACTCAGCCCCAGGTCCCCTCCCCTTACAGTCCTCCAAAACACAATGAACAGACTCTGCTTCACCAAACTCCTGGCATTGCTGTGTCACCAAGCAAAGAAACATTGCCACACTGCAGCTTTCACCCTCTCCCTATCTTCTCCCACACAAATAATCCAGCTTGAAGACCTGAACAACACATCCCCAAAGCTATTTGCAACCTTTGAGACCAAGCACTGTGTATGAAAGACGGGGAAACTGAGGCTGTATCAATGTGACAAAGCTTGAACTCACATAGCAGCCCAAAGCTCACCTGCAACAGGTCCCGGCTGCCTCCCTGGGCAACCTGTCTCTCCCTGTCTCTGCCAAAGCAGGAAATTAGTTCAGCAATGCAACCACAATCATTCCTGCCATCGTTTGCCTTTTTTCTTCTGATTTTCAAATCCTTCACAAACTCTCACAGCCATTCTGTCTGTATGCAAACATTCTCCATATCAGCCCAACAGGTTCCAACACTCCCTCCCACCAAACAACGCTCTCACGAGTGCAGAGTTATACCTTAGTTCCTGCCCTGCATCCCAGGCCGCCCTGCCAACACCCAGCTTACCATGGTGAAAGGGGAGCTGAGAAGAGCCAGCATCATGTTGGTCACAGAGATGTTGACGACGAAGAGGCCGGTAGCAGTGTGCACCCTCTTGTATTTCATAATGACATGATTTAAGACCCAGTTGCCTAGGATGGCAGCAAAGACCACTACGGTGTACCCTATCACTAACCAGAACTGCACCTGCTCATCTTGAGACACCATCTCCGAAGATATGGGACCTGACACGTCGGCCAGGTCTCCTGTGTTTGCCATGCTGTCTGGCAGTTTATCAATGGGGAGCACGCCTTCGCGGCCAGCTTGGCCAACCGCAGATGTGGCTTTGGACAAGGCCTGCAGCACCTGGGAGGTGGTGGAGGTGATCAGGTCATCAAAACCGCTGGGCACACTCAGAGCTTCGGGGGTCAGCTCGTCCCCATAGCTCATGGTGCCTGGGTTCAGGAAAGCCCCGTGGGGCGATTCTGTGGTCGGGGCGTCCAGCTTGACGCCTTTATAGGACCGCGAGGTCCTTAAGCTACTGGGTCTGAGAGCGCCAGGGGGAGGGCGGCCTCCACTGAGCTCAGGGAGGGCTGCGCTCTGCACGCAGGAGCTCTGCGAGCAGAGGGAGTTCTCCAAAGTGTGTGAGGCGAGGAGGGGAAGGAGCGCTGGGATGGTTCCCTTCCTGACTCAGAGTGGGCAAGTGCGCAGAGCTGAACCAGGCAGACGAGCGCAGGGCGGGCGACCGCTGCTGGTTCCAGATGGCCTGCCGCCTGGCTATTGCGCAGGCAGCTCCTGTTCCGAACTGGGGACAGCGTCCGGCGTTGCCCCAGCACCGCTCCTCCTCTGCGCAGTCCGAGATTGTTCCGACTCACTGTCTGTTGCCTTCAATCTGTCCGGAAGTCTGTCTGTCCGATGCTGGCGGGCGCAGTGGGCTGGGCGGAGGCAGCCGCTGCCACTAGTGCTC